CCTAGGGTGTTTAGGGCCAAGGCCAGGACGCGGCCGTGGATACCATCCGGACCCGGGGCGACATTCTTGCCCCGGAGTTTATCCACGGCCGCGGCGAACTCCTCCTCGGTAATGGCAGGAACCGCAGCAGCGCTGACGCCGCTGGCCTCTCCATCACTGCCACGCGGCATCATCGAAGGAGGTGTAAAGGGAGGCTGTCTCGGGAACAGCTCCTCCAACACCCCCTCCAGCTGCTGCGGCTGGAGACCCTCTGCCACGAAACCACTGGATTGAACTAGACCAACCAAAAGTATTAACATCAGAACGGCATTATATCCCAAGAATGGTTAGAGAAATTTGATTTCATTGACATTGACGAGGTTGAAATACAGAAATATAAAATTTCAATAGAGACGACGGTAGGCTCTCTAATGCCTGGAATGCAGTGATTGGTTTAATTAAACAAAAACAAAAAACGCGATCGAAAAGTGTATTAAATGTACGTGAAGATACTGTGAGTACAGTTTGCCGAGATGAATATCGTGCGAGTTCCAGTAGTAGCAACAAACGAAGACGTGTGAAGGTAGACGCATATGTCTGCCCATAAAAAGATTTCATTTTCCATCTACCCGCTGCTCTTCAGTTTACCCGTGATCATGGTGGTTGAAACACTGCCGAAATATCGGGAACTCAGCAAATAAATATAAAACGTGGTAAGATCCCGTGATTTTTACTAATTATACGTATAATTATCTTAAAATTTTTAAAAAAGTTTGTATTTTGACTAAATCTAATTATATTAATAAACAAATTAAGCAGTCTTCTGACAAAATTAAAACCATCTGGAGCATTATAAATAAACTGGAAGATCTAAAATAGCCTGTACTCAATTTACATTAAATCATAATAATAAATTAATAACAACAACAAAAGATGTAGTCAATATTTTGGATTTCTTTGCTAATATTCCGACTGACATTACATCTTCTCTGGACTCATCTCCCTTTCCAGCAAAAATATTACTAGAGGCTAATATCGGTTGTTGTTCTTTAAGATTTAAATTTTCACATGTTAGCTCCTTTCATATCATAAAAATATTCAAACAGCTAAATTTAAAAAATACGGAGGACCTTTGGGGCATGTCCGTAAAAGTAGTTAGTTGTTTCATAGATATTGTTGCTCCATATCTAGCCACTATTTTTAATAAATGTATTGATAATTACTGAAATTTAGCAAATTAATCCCATTATTTAAATCAGGGGATAAATTTGAGCCCGAGAACTATAGACCTATATCTATTTTGCCAGTTCTAAGTAAGGTGTTTGAAAAGATAATGTTAAATCAAAGGTCAGGGTTAACGGACTGCTTCACAGTCCGTTAACCCTTTTTTTTTTTTTTTTTTTTTTTTTTTTTTAACGTGTGGAAAAATCTTCAAAAGACCGTCACCCCGCCGGAGGGATGGCGAGGTGGTGTGTGGGACTTGTACCCACTAAAAAACCACACGGTGTACCTACGAGCGCCTATGCCGGAGCCAGGGGATTCGCAGGTGCATTCTACCCCAGCTCCGACGGCGACGGCCCGCCCTGTAGATGTTGTAGGGCAGGCCCCATCTCGTTTTGTGGTTAGGGCGACCTATTTCGCCCTACTCCATTGTGGAGGCGTGTGGGTACACGCGCACACCTCCGGGGCCTTTGGATTGGGGGACTGCCTCCCTCAAGGCAGTCACCCCGGCCCCAGTGGGGGATAGAGGGGGACGGAGTTGGATACGCTCCCACCTCTAGGCCTGGCTCTTCTGCGGCGGAGGGAAGCGGGACGATCTGACTCCCGCTCCCTTTCCGCCGCCTCCTTCCGCGAGATAACTTCCTCGCAGAAGGAGCTCACCGCCAGCCACGATCTCTCGCTACTGACCATCCTCCGAACTAAATTCGGCAGCGAGAGATCGTCCCCCACTATTCGTGTGAGGACACGGCGCTCACTCTCAAACGCTGGACATATTTCCAGCGTGTGTTGCGCCGTGTCCTCTACACCTCCGCATTCGTGGCAGCCGGTCGTCGGCTCCTTCCTCGCCACATGACACAGATACCGCCCAAAGCAGCCGTGCCCGGACAGTATCTGTGTCATGCGGTACGTCAGTGGCCATCTCCTATTCATCCACCTTTTGAGGGTGGGACGGACAGCCTCGATGGTCCTCAGGCCGGCCGACGGGCTCATCAACCTCGCCCGCCATTCGATCCTGAGGATCCGCCGAGAGTCGGACCTCCGCGCTTCAATCTCGTGACCAGCGGGTGCCTCCCCCATGGAACGTCGCTCCGCGCGCCAGTGATACACTGACGCGTGGAGCTCCGCTACCAAGTCCCACGGAGGAGACCCCGCCAGTAGACCCGCCGCCTCCCCGGATATGGTGCGGTAGCCTCTTATGGCCCGTATGGCCATGACCCTGTGTGGCCTGTTGAGGCAGGCCACATTTTCCCTACCTAGGGCCCCCACCCAGATGGGGGCCCCGTACAGGGCCATGGACCGCACCACGCCGAGGTATAGGCGGCGGGAACCTTCTCCCGGGCCCCTCACATTTGGCAGCAGCCAGCTAAGAGCGCCGGCGGCTGCCATGAGGCGAGGGACCAGGTTCCGGAAGTGAGCGCGGAAGCTCCAACGACTGTCCAGGTCAAGCCCCAAGTATCGAATACAGGGCTTGACCCCCACCCTCTGGCCACTGACGACCAGCTGGGCATCCGGAGGTGGCGCACGCCGAGGCCCATGAAAACACAGGACCTCGGTCTTCTCCAGCGCCACCTGGAGCCCAAGCCTTCTAATTCGGCCGACGACCAGCGCCACGCTTGCCGTGGCAAAGCGGGTAGCCTCCCGTAGGTCCCGCCCCCGGGCAGTGACCAAGGTGTCATCCGCGTAACACACGAGGTCAGTGCCCGTTAAAAGGGCGCCCCGCAGGTTCCAATCATACCCGATGTTCCACAGGATCGGGCCCAGAACCGATCCCTGTGGAACACCGCGTTGCATGTCCCTCAGCACAACAACGCCGTTCCGCCCCGTGCATAGCACAGACCTGTCCTCGAGGTAGGCCCCGATCACGTCCCGAATATAGGGAGGCGCGCGATGGTATTTCAGCGCCTCCCTAATAGTCGCAAAGGGCAGGGTGTTGAAGGCGTTCTTTATGTCCAACGAGACCGCCAACAACACCCCACCCTGGGACGTCGCCTCTTCCGAGAGGGAGCGCACACGCGAGATCGCGTCGATCGTCGAGCGCCCCTCTCGGAACCCGAACTGCTTCGGGCTGAGATCGGGACCTACCCGGGACAGGTGTTGGACGAGTCGGCCCGCCAAGATTCGCTCAAAGAGCTTGCCGATCTCGTCCAACAGCACTATGGGGCGGAACGCCGAGGGAACCACCGAACCTGCAGGGTGCTCCGCTTTGCGGAGCAGGACCACTCTACCCGCTTTCCACTTATTGGGAAACCGTCCCGACTCCAGACACGCGTTAAACAAGCGCCGGAGTCGGTCCCCTAGGGTGTTTAGGGCCAAGGCCAGGACGCGGCCGTGGATACCATCCGGACCCGGGGCGACATTCTTGCCCCGGAGTTTATCCACGGCCGCGGCGAACTCCTCCTCGGTGATGATAGGAACCGCAGCAGCGCTGACGCCGCTGGTCTCTTCATCACTGCCACGCGGCGTCATCGGAGGAGGCGTGAAGGGAGGCTGTCTCGGGAACAGCTCCTCCAACACCCCCTCCAGCTGCTGCGGCTGGAGACCCTCTGCCACGGGGGCGCCCAGGGGCGTAGTTTGCCCCTGACGAACCTATAAGGACGCCCCCATGGATCCCTGTCCAGGGTCTCCAGGAGTTCTTCCCTGGCTGCCTCCTTGGCCCTGCTGATGGATAGCTGCAGAGCTTTCTTCCTCTCTTTGTACTGCTCGTACAGCTGTGCTTCCTCGTCGGCGTCGCGGCCCCGCCTGAGTCGGCGGTGCCTGGTGTACCGGCGGCGGGCGGCGGAGCACTCCTCCCTCAACGCCGCTATCTCCTCCGACCACCAGTACACCTGACGCCTAGGAGGTCGAGGGCCGGCTCGGGGCATCGCCGCGTCGCAAATGTGCGACAGAGCCTCACCGAACCAGCCCACCTCTGCGTCGACCTCCACAGGCCCCTCCGGTATGGGAACCCAGGCCTGGACGATGGAAGCCTCCATCAGCACGTCTTTATTCAGACGTTTCAACACCCATCTGGGGAGTTGTGGGACATTCCTCTCCTGGCGACCGGGGTGCGGAGCTACGGGTGAGGGGAGAACGTCTATCCGAATGTAACGATGATCGGATAGCGTCTCCACCTCATCCAACACCTGCCAGCTCCGCACCCTCTGTGCGATCGCTGGACTGCAGAGGGATACGTCGACATGCGACTCCCCCTGCTGTCTCACGCACGTGGCGGCCGACCCTCGGTTCAACACCACCAGGCCGGCCGCGGCCGCCCAGTCTTCCAGGACCCTGCCTCGAGAGTCGGTGATGGGGGAGCCCCATGCCGTGGATTTGGCATTGAAGTCCCCCATCACCATCATTGGACGGGCCGAGTATAGCTCCATAGCGGCCCCCAGCCCGTCCATGAACTGCTCGAACTCGGCGAGAGTCCTGTTCGGAGAGAAGTATGTCCCGACAACGACGGTTTCCCCCAACTCACACCTATGTACCCCGCTCCGCCGAATAGGCGACTGACGAGCGGGGTCGCGGGGTTGCCCGCGCCGACAATGGCCACCAGGCCAGAGGGGTCGCCGAACCAGTGGTCACTACGTGGGACACGATATGGTTCGGCGACCACTGCAAGGTCAACTCCCCACTGCGCCGCGCTCTGCAGAAGCAGATCCTGGGCGCGCGCGCAGTGGTTGAGATTCCCCTGCAGGAGGCGATGGACTGCCATTATTGACCGGTGTCCATCACCTCAGCCTCTCCCCGGCGGCCATTGCCGCGGGCCGACGACAGTGCGGATCCCCTCTCTCTCTTGGACCGGGATTGGGGGCACTTTTTTACCCGGTGATCGGCTGGGCGACCCGCCGCTGCGCATACCCCGCTGTGTGGAGTCGCCATGCACCCAGCCGCTTTGTGGCGGGGTTCTCCACACCGGTAGCATAAGCCACTCGGTCCTCCTCGTGCGAGCACCTTGCCAACACGTGCCCGCTCTCGAGGCACCGATAGCACCGGAGCGGCTTCTGCCGCAGCAGTTCCGCAGCAGCGGACACCCAGCCGATCTTGATCCGGCCTGCCGTCGTGATCCGCTTGACCGCGGCTAGTGGGGCCCGCACCCAGCAGGTGCCCAGGCCTGACGCGCCTCGTCGAATTTCTCCGACCTTGACGGCGGCCGCCGCACACTCGCCCTGCTGGGCTACGGCGGCTGCCACCTCTTCCCCGTCGGTACCGTCGTCCAGACCCATCATTCTCATTTCGGCCGTTTTGACGGGCCTGGAGATGCGGACGGTATCCGCCGGGAAAACCTCTTGGAATTTCGACGCAAGCGCGTCGGCCTGTTCTCCCGTCTGGGACCCTGGTATTTCCAGTATACGGGCCCCAGTAGCCGCGGTCTTAAAGCGTAAGCTTCCAATCCCCAAGGAGGCGAGGTCTATTTTGCTCTTCGCCTCCTTGAGCACATCCGTGTACGTCAGCCCGCCAGCCTCCGCCCCCGGAGCGAGGGTAACCACCACAGCCGCTGATCGCGGTGCACGCAGTTTGGACGGTGATGGCGGGGCCTGCTTGTTCTTCCTTCCCTGAGAGGCAGCCCCAGAGCTCCTCTGTGTGCTCTGGGTGCTCTGAGTCTGTCTCTCGGGGACGGTGCGGGTTTTACCGCCCCGCTTCACCACCGTGTTCCACCCTTCTTGCGCGCGTCCCACGCCCGACGGGCCCGGCTGCTGACCGTCGGAAACCGGACGGTTGGCGGGCTGACGCTTCTCCAGACGTGGGAAGTCTGCACCCCGACTTCCCTGCAGATGGGGAGCGTCCCTAAATCCTGGTCCCCCTGCGCCAGGCAGACGTGACAGAACCTCGTACTGCCCGTCGCTTTGAAGTGGCGGGCGGTACTCAGGGCGGATAGTCGGCGCCGGGGAGGACTTGTCCAGAAGGGCCCGCAACTGGATGAAGCCCTTCCTCATCTGTTCCTCCACCTGGGCCGAAATTAAACGGCCGGCCGACTCCAAGATATCCGCCCTGAATGCCTCGACATCACTCGGCGCAGGAGCCGGGACTGTGATGCTCCTCTTCGTCGGTTCCTTGGGAGCCGAGGAGGCAGCCGAAAGGGTTCGGGGTTGGGACTTAGCCAGGCGGGTAAGTTCCTCCACTTGGCGACGAAGGTCATCGTTGGCCTTGCGGAGCTTGGCCAGTTCTTCGTTGACGCTCCGCCGCTCGACCGCCCACGTGGAGAAGGTTTCATCCACAGGGACCTCGGGATCCAACCTCTCTGCCATGAGGAAGATATCTCCTATATTTTTCTTTAGGAGGCCCACCTCAGCACCTTTTCTGTTGCGGCACTTTTGCACGGTGTGCAGGATTGACCGCAGTTTGTCTCCCATCTCCTCCCTGAAGACGGCGAGCGAGTCCATCTCACCCTTAGAGGGCTCCACCCTCTTCGCTGAAGAGACCTCCTTGGGGCGGACAAACACCACGCCGCCATCAGGGAGGATCCCGGTCCGTCGGCTTTCCTGCTGGGACACCGGCAATGTCGCAGGAGCCTTCTCTCTCTCCGTATTTGAGGGAGGCTTTCCGCCCCGGGACGAGGAGCAGGGTATTTTAGATGGTTGGGTACCACTACCCATCGCCCCGGAGGGACCCGCCCCATCTGTGTGTGGCCGCTTAGCAACGGCCGTCCTCGTGAGCCCGTCATCACGGGACACCAAACATCCGGACAACTCGTCCTCCACCAACATAGATCGCGTCGAGCGCGTCGAGCGCGTCGACGACGCCGATGACGGACGAGATGCCCGTGACCTGGGCCGCGAGACGGGCCGCGACCTCACCGGTTGGTCCTCCATCTCCAAATCCGCCTCAGTTACTGAGTCTGACATGGACCAGAACTCAGCAGACCAAGGGGATGGAAACTCCTCATTACCCCCCCCGGGGAACGGGAGAAAGTAGGTTTGGTGCCTGCTGGAACTCAGCCTGCAACCAACAGATGACCACTCCCAACCTAAGTTGGGAGGGTGTTTGGGAGGCTAGCGCCTCAAAAACTACTCCGGGGTTTCCCCCGGAGCGGACACACTGGGCAAGGGTGACCCCCTGTACAGTGCAGCCGCTCCCGGTGAAATCACCACAAACACCTCAGCACAACACAAGATAGAAAAAAAAAAAAAAAAAAAAAATACTTAACCTAACTAACCTAACTATGTACAAAACCTAACCTAACCTAACTATATATAACATAATAAAAGAAAAGGATAAAAAAGAAGGAAAGAAAAGACGAAAGAAACAAACAAATAAACACGAAAGGGTTGCGCTTAAAAACCAATCCGAAAAACCTCCCAAAAAATGTCACAGTCCGTTAACCCTGACCTGTTGTAACATTTATACAGCAATATGGTTTCACCGCCGCAGGTGTAGCGCTAATAACACATATTTTCGAATCATGGGAGAAGTCACAGGATGCACTCGGAGTTTTTTGTGATCTATCAAAGGCTTTTGATTGCGTGGATCATAAAACACTTTTGTACAAGCTCGAACACTATGGTAGAAGAGATAATGATCTAAAATTAATGAGAACTTATTTAGAGGACAGGGTCCAAACTGTAGATATTGACGGTGTAAAATCTAAGGGAGCTAATATTAAGATGGGCGTTCCACAAGGGTCAATCTTAGGCCCCTTTCTCTTTTTAATCTATATAAATGACCTTCCCTTTATGGTAGAGAAAATTGCAGATATAGTGCTGTTTGCGGATGATACTTCGTTAGTGTTTAAAATTGGACGTCAAAGTAATCAATTAGACGATATAAATTGTGCTATGTCTGCAATATTAAATTGGTTTACATGTAATAACCTACTATTAAATTCAAAGCAAACAAAGTGTATAAAATTTACACTTCCTAATGTAAGACTAATAAATACGCAGTTATTGCTTAATGGCGAAATAGTAAATTTTGTTAATGATACAGTTTTTTTAGGTATAACAGGTCTCGAAATTCCAATGGGGCCCCCATATTTCAAAAGTAGCCAGTAGACTCAGTTCTGCTGCATATGCAATTAGAAGAATTAGGCAATTAACAGACGTGGCGACGGCTAAACTTGTATATTTTAGTTATTTCCATAGCATAATGTCTTATGGCATACTGCTGTGGGGTAAAGCAGCCGATATAAAGGCTATATTTATTTTACAAAAGAGAGCCATACGTTCTATTTATGGTATGGGTTCAAGAGAGTCATTACGTCAGTGCTTTAAAGAATCAAATATCCTCACCGTTACTTCACAATACATTTATGAGAATATCATGTATACACGGAAGAACTTAGAGAGTTTTAAAAAACTCAAAGACTGTACAAGTAGAAACTTACGTAATAAATTTAAGCTAATTTTACCTAATTGCCGTCAATCAGGAATTCATTCTACGGTAATTGCGTAAGATTTTATAATAAACTGCCAGAATCTGCATTAAATCTGACAGAGAGGCAATTCAAATCTTATATTAAACAATTTTTGTGTAAGAAAGCCTATTACAGGATAGACGAATTCATAGATGACAACATATCAAGTAAATAATTAGTTTATTAGCATACAACGTTATAGTTCATTTTTCTCATTGCTTTCTTGATTAATTATTTTAGAAATATGAAAGCGTAACGGTTTTTAAATTGATTGCCGCATGCATTCTTATGTAAAATGTGAATACTATAATTATCAGATGGCAATTCTAAGTAGCTTTGACGTGGTCTGGTGTTTTGAGTAGTCGTGCTCACAAAAATGTCCAGACTTGTGGCGACGTGGTGGGCCGGGTCATTGGGCTCCCTAAAATATGGTCGAGCGCAGTGATGGCTGGCTCATCCGTCATACTCGTGAACGGGTGCTGCTTGTAGGGACTGGTCTGCTCTAATGACTATGACTGATTTCCTCTTATTAATTGTTTACCCAGTTGGTTGTATATTCAATATTTTTTCTATTTGATTATTTAATTGAATTAGTGCTAATTGGTGGTTTGTATTCACACACTTAAACATAAAAATGTAAAGTAATAATAAAATTATTTAAAAGAGTAACACGCAAGTTTCTTGCTCGTTCTTCTTGTGATGAGACAGCTTTCCGAATGAGCGGTAGATTAAAAAATGTAATGACTATTCAAAAGTGCTTCAATGTAAGTTTATTTGAACAAATGATTTTCTATTCTACTCTATTCTTATTCTATTAAATATTCTTAAATTAAAACATCGTTTTTTCTAAAGTGTACCTAAGTAGTCGCAACCTCGTTCCTGTTGTTGGTTTCATCCAGTCTAGTTTCGTATCCCATTACCTAAAAGTAATACCCTACCACAAATCAATTAAAAACAAGGATTAGGCATGCGACAATCAACATAGAAACCGCTACGCACTTAATCTCTGTTCAATCAGATAACATTGTCAGCGCTATGAATTTTAAGTTAGATATTTTCTACAAAAACATTATTATCATTTATAAATTCTTCAATTTTATAATAAGCTATTTTACAAAGAAAATATTTTATGACACATTTGAATTTTTTTCTGGCAAATTGACTACAGACTCTGGGAGTTTGTTGTAAAACCTTACGCAATTTCCATAAAACGAATTACTGACTTTCGTCAAACGGCACTTAGGTAAAACTAGTTTGTTGACATTACGTAAGCTTTTATTAGTGTAATCACCTACTTTTTTAATGTTTTTCCTGGCATGCATAATATTTTCGTAGATGTATTGAGAAGCAACGGTGAGGATATTTGATTCTTTAAAACATTCACGCAAAGACTCCCTGGAACCCATACCGGATAATGGAGCGGATGGCCCTCTTTTGCAAAATAAATAATGTATTTATATCAGCTGCTTTGCCCCATAAAAAATACCGTATGACATAATGCTATGAAAATAGCTAAAATACACGAGTTTAGCCGTTGCCACGTCTGTTATTGTCTAATTCTTCTTATATCCGCATAAGCAGCAGAACTAAATCTATTCGCCATTTTAGAAATATGAGCACCCCATTGCAGTTTGGAGTCTAATGTGATTTCCAAGAAATACAGTATCATCAACAAATTTAATAAGTTTATTGTTCAGTACGATTTTTGAATCAAGCTTCCTTACATTGATTGGGGAGCGTAAATTTAATGCACTTTGTTTTATCTCTATTTAATAGCATATTATTAGCAGTAAACCATTTTAAAATAGAAGAGTGAGCACTGTTTACTTCTTTCATATCATCAATATGTCGATTGACTTTAAATATTAATGAAGTATCATCGGCAAACAGAACTATGTCTGCTATTTTTTCTACCATGTAAGGAAGGTCATTTATGTAAACTAAAAATAAAAAAGGACCCAGAATAGATCCCTGACGAACACCCATTTTAACACTGGAACCTTCGGACCTTACACCATTTATTTCAACAATTTGCATTCTATTATCTAAATAGGATTTCATCATCTTTAGAGCTTCATTTTTAATACCGTAATGTTCTAGTTTGAGTAAGAGTGTTTCGTGATCCACACAATCAAATGCTTTTGAGAGGTCACAGAATACACCGATAGCATCCTGAGACCTCTCCCAACAGTCAAAAATGTGTTTCATTAAAGCTACACCAGCGTCAGTAGTTGATTTACCGGCCGTGAAACCAAATTGCCGACTGTGAAGCAATCTATTTGTTTTTAGTTCGAAAAACGGATTTTGATGGCGTCATTGGTATCGAATGGAATTCAACATTGTTTTGCAATCGTTTAAAACCCAAAACTATGTTTTTAAAAAGGTTTAATCTATTTTTAAAAAGTCATATATAGATGTTAAAATGAAATAATGCGTTTTGAAAAGTAATTTTCATATATTTACTCATTTTGTTGTTGCCCTGTATTTGTTTACAATTTAATCATTGCTAATTGGGGCTTATTGTTTCCAAAATACTTTCATAGATGGCGCTGTTTTCATTTATATCGAAGTATTTTAAATGTTTATTTTATATTTTCAAATAATAAGTACTTACTATATTATTATGATAAATTAAACATAAAAAAAGTTTAAGTAAATATAAAACAGCTAAACAAGAAAACAATATTATTCCAGTAATACTTATTTAGAAAGTGTTGCCATATTAAAAATAAATGCAGATTTTACGATTTTTTCGAATAATCGATAACAGGATATTACAGCGCATTATTCGATGATGCTTTTAATCAGTCTTTGCAAACAGTAAAATTTCATCATTTTGTATTATACTCTTATTTGTAGAACGAATTGCAATGCATAATTTTTACTCGACGACGGCAAAATAGAGAGATTTTGACAGGTATGGTATGGTATGGTATGGTATGTTAGACTCCATTCTCCGCAATTAGCCTCACATTCGGGCCGTTGTGCGTGTAGAGCCAGACTACTAACGTAGCCAGCCAAGCTCCTCCCAAAAGCGCAGAAGACTCCTGGTGTCTTCGCAGGCTTCACGGAGCGACCTCACCGTTCCGAGGATTTGTTTTCGTTGTTCGGCCACTGCCGTGCACTCCAGGATTACGTGAGCCGCCGTTTCTTCAGCTTCAAAGCAGCCCCGACAGAGGGGCTGTCTGTAGCATCAATTTTGTATAAGTGTTTGTTTAAGGAACAATGGCCCGCCATTGTTCCTATCATTATTTTGAGGTTTTGTCTATCTAGATTAAGTAGACGTGTTGTTAACCGATGGTTCGTTTTTGGAATTGCCACTTTAGATTGTTTGCAATCAGTGGTTAGGTTCCATCTTTGGTTTTGTATTTCGGTGGATCTCTGGCGAATCCAGGTGCGAAATTGCGAGAATGGTATTGGCATGAGCGGGAGGGGGCCTGCAACCACCATACCGGATCCTACTCTCGCTAGTTCGTCCGCGGCGTCATTGCC